TAATAATAATTGTAATAATAATAATAATGATAATAATAATGGTAATAATAATAATAATAATAATAATAATAATAATAATAATAATAATAATAATAAAAGCAATAGAAATAATGATAAGGGGGCAGTATTTCAAATAAATGTTGTATATAACAATATGTTCACAGTGCATGATATTGACGATAACATAAATATGCTTGTATTTAAAGGTTAAAGTCAATATAAGTGACACCAGCAACAAGACGAGAAAGCTATAAGACTAATAGAAACAGGTAATGTAACTAGATGTTTGCTGGTACTCTGAAGTTTTCGTGTTGTTATAGAGTTCTTTGACATACCCTCAAACATAGATATACATATAAACAGTAGATAGTATTAGCAATATAACAGTAATTCTATCATACAGATGGAGGGTAGAATTGCCAGAGGAATTAATGACATAACAAAAGGGACGTCGATGATTTTTTTAATTACTAGGGAATTTACATGAAATAATTTAAGAGAGAGAGAGAGAGAGAGAGAGAGAGAGAGAGAGAGAGAGAGAGAGAGAGAGAGAGAGAGAGAGAGAGAGAGAGAGAGAGAGAGAGAGAGAGAACAAATAAAGGAGTGTATATATGTGAGAGAGAGAGAAAATAAAGGGAGTGTGTGATTGAGTGCTTCAATGTGAGAGAGAGAAAAAATAAAGGAGAGTGTGATTGAGAGTGTGTATGTGAGAGAGAAAAAATAAAGGAGAGTGTGTATGTGAGAGAGAAAAAATAAACGGTGTGTGTAAGAGTGCGATTGATTGTTTCTACATGAGAGAAAAAAATAAAGGCAGTATTTGACAGAGTATGTGTATGTGAGAGAGAGAGAAAAGAAAGGGAAGTATGATTGAATGTATGTGAGACAGAGAAAAAATAAATGAATGGAGTGCGTGATTGAGTGTGTGTATGTGAGAGAGAAAGCGAAAATAAAGGCAGTATGTGATTGACTGTATGTATGTGAGAGAGAAAAAAATAAATAAAGTAAGTGTGTGATTGAGTATGTGTATGTGAGAGAGAAAGAAAATAAAAGGAGTGTGTGATTGAGTGTTTGTATTGTGAGAGAGAAAAAATATAGGGAAAGTGTGCGTTTGATTGTGGGTGTCTGTGAGAGAGAATAAAGGGTGAGTGTGTTATGTGAGAGAGAAAAAGAAAAAAGAAAGGGAGATTTTGATTGAGTGATGATTGATTCGTGTTGTGTGTGTGTGTGTGTGTGTGGGAGTGGGAGAGAGCGAGAGAGCGAGAGAGCGAGAGAGCGAGAGAGAGAGAGAGAGAGAGAGAGAGAGAGAGAGAGAGAGAGAGAGAGAGAGAGAGAGAGAGAGAGAGAGAGAGAGAGAGAGAGAGAGAGAGAGATAAATAGTGAGAGAGAAAGAGAGAGATTCACTCGGTTATGAAGTCAATGAACTAAGATATCAAACGTCATTTCTTTGTTGATACGGTAGATATTTAAGGCTGAAGATGAGAGATAGGGTTTTCTGTAAAAAAGTTGAGTCTTACCTTTATCAAAATCAACTCTCAATTATATAGCTATATGATTTCACCTATACGTCAGGTAATCTTAACATATATTTACATACACACACACACACACACACGTACACACACACGTACACACACACACACACACACACACACACACACACACACACACATACACACACACACACACACACACATACATATATATATATATATATATATATATATATATATATATATATATATATATATATATATATATATATATATATACATATACATACATGCATTTATATATATATATATATATATATATATATATATATATATATATATATATATATATATATATATATATATATATAAATCCATGCCTTAATTCATTTACCTTCAGGTCCTCCGAAATCAAGCATCTGCTATCAAGATTATACGTTTTTTTATCTATTTAAAAAGCCTGAATTTGCTTTTATCTTGCGCCTTTTAGTTCGTTAAAAGATCATTTTCA